ATGGGGAGTGAATTTAGCCAAGTCTGGGCAGCTCCTGTCACTGAGAATGGAAACAATAACAACTTTTTTACTTCCTGAGTTACATTGGGCTACCTTTGAGTTTTGCAGACTGATAGGAAATTCTTCAAGTGTTGTTGAAGATCTTCAATATATGACCCCGAAAATAATCCATTGTTTTGCAACAAGTGCAACATGTTGTTCGTGATTTGAAAAGATTCTGCCTGTATCTGCGGGACTAATACCGCTGTGGACAAATTCTCTACTGTGGGTTGTGCCCAGTCATATAGAGCAGCCACTGGCACAAGAGGTGCCACTACCGGCGCTACTGACGCAGCTGGGTCTACCACGTTATACCCCATGTCTGGTTCGAATTGTTCAGTTGATTGTTGTTGTTTGTTTTTCTGATTGGCCCGATTCAAGGCCTTGAAAACTTTCTCGGGATCTGATAATGCTTCAAATACTTCACCAGTTCTCGATGAGTTTCTAGGCATGCACCTGTACAGCCAAGTCAACAAACGTTAAAATTTCAATGTATAGATTGAAAATAAAGAAAACTGACTACACTAAGAATTTTTGTATTTCTTTCAACTGTAATTGATAACACCGTTAGTTCCCCAGTAACGACGCCAAAATTTGATCATGCCCAACTATGCCTTATAAAAAGGACAAGCGGTCGTTGCAAATATAATCAAGTTATTTAGCCTAGAGTCGAATCCACAGGGAATTAACCTACCAATTACTCTTGTTAGACTCACTAAATTCTTCGTGATCAACTTCCCAGATATTTTGAATAACAATCGGTGATATTTTTACTAGCTATAACTGAATAACGTTAAATAAACTAAAAGCTAACTATGATTGAGTTGTAAATAGATAAGAGAAGGATCTAAGGTTGTGATTTCCCTTATTGATGGAATCCCTTCCTGCTATGTTTCACATAGAATGCCTAATCGTCTCTATCGATCATGAACACTCTTACTACCGTAAATCTCTCCCGATTAATTACGATAATTTACTAGACGCACTCTTCCGAGTTACGCTAACTGACTTTTATTACTGCTCACTTTAGATCGCACCCAAGGTTTCGTTATCCCTAATCCCACCTTTAAACCCTTGGTTATTGATTCCTCATATACTTTAGGAGTGGTGTTTTTCAATAATTACCTAAATATGCACTCTCTCCCGAGTAATGCATACTAAATAGGCACAGCTAATTGAGGATCCTATCAATTAACTACAACAAGAACGTAGTTGAACAAATAGAGATTAAACTGGGCAAACTATATTAACATAACACGAAATTCATCCTTCAACAGGTTCTATCAAAACTCTAGACTAACTAATTAGCTACTCATAATCGTATTTATACTAACAACAACAAAATTCATCATAAATGATAAATACAAAAGGAAGAAAGGTAGAACTCAATGTCGAATTATCCCCCTTGCCTCTTCTTGCCTTCAACTAAGCTGTAAAAACCTTGAGAATGTCTCATTGGGCGAGCTGGACCTCTTATAGGTTAAGTGGAATTACCCCCAAACTTCCAAGTTTACCCCAAAAATTATGTGCTCCGAACTGGACTAGCGCAGCCGCGCTAATGGCCGCGCATATTGCATAATATTCTGCCTCAATTTTTTGGGCTAGAGCGGTCGCGCTAAGCTGGTTCAGCATTTTAACTCTTCTTCTCTCTCTTCTTTCACACGTACTCAGCTCCGAGGGGATTCCCTTGCTTTAATTTAGCTCCAAACACCGTCCTAAATCCTCATAAGCGCAACTCGCTCCTGCAAAATATGAAATTCACAATTAGAGCCAATTTATTGTCATTTAACTATCCTAGAACAGTGAAGCATAGTCAAGTTGGGGCATAAACAGTCGCCAAACTATATGAATCTAGCCTATTATCAATAAAATATTTTCCAATTAAAAATCACACATAACACCTTTCATAATAATAACAACAGGACTAAGTAAGATAATTATATTTTCAAGTATGTCGTGTACAACCTCATTACTATATACTTTCACAACTATCTACGGAGCCTCTATACGAAATAATAGAATTAAGCACTTGGGCCAATATCCGACATGCATAAATTAAAAAAAAACAACATGATAGCTACCACGAAATAAGAGTGGTACCTCACCATATACTTCCGAAAGAGAGTCATCCTAGTCCTGACTGCATGCCACGTATCGTACTCATCCCGAAACATGTAAAATAGGTCAGGCCCTAGAGGGGGCCCCCTAAGGGCTGAGTACACCACATTGATACTCAATAAGTGTTATAGACTGTTTCTAACTTAAGTTTTTGGGACAAACTTTATAAAAATAATGGACCAATATTTGAAATAAAATGATAAGAAATTCTATCAATTCATGACCCTTGTCATTTTGAATAAAATTCAAGTGAAATATAACCCACAATATAAACTTTTAAAATATTTACACCAATCCAAGATTTTGGATAAAATCATAAAAAATCATTTCATTTGCTTTAAATCATTAAAATCACTTTCGGCTTCTTAGGCCTAAACATTAGAAAATCATCCTTACCTTTCACTAGGAGTACTATACCATCACCGACATAAGAAAGTCAACTCTGTTATGTACCTAGCGGCAAGTATCATATACCCTACTTGCTCAGGTCGTCTCATCGTAGTGCCATATGAATCGACTCAGCCATGCTAATAATAGTACAAAATAGTACTCTCTCGAGGGAGAGCACTCTGTCGTAGTCTATACCACAAAGTGATCATCTACGCCTACACCAGCACGTAGTTTCATGACAACGAACACAATATATCCGAAGTCAATCTCGGTGAATACAAGTAACTCCCAACATATTTAATACTTCAAAAATAGATTCATAGCATAGTAGCTTCAAAAGATCTATTTTTATCAACTCATAACATTTATAGAAAAATCTAAATCATTTGAACAAAAATTAAATAAATAACCTTTTACATGCTAAAGTCTTTAGCAATTTAATATCGATCTTTAAAAAGATACCACATGTGTTATTCTGTTCGTCAATTTCCAAAAGAAATACTTTCCATGAAAACTTATCTTTAGCACTCAAATATGTATACTCTTGTCAATACATAAGCATTTACCTTGAGTGTCATTTTGCCAACAAGATTTAAAATAAAATTTTATAAAATGGCATGGCACTACATATGCAACATAATATTCTAGTATATGGAGACATCCATACTTGTTTGTCCCCACAAGCACGAAAGCACATTTGCAACAACTTAAATATTAACTCGAAACATGCTTTTAGAGAAAATCCCTCAAGAAGAGTAAGTTTTAATCAACTTACGTCGCTTTCACTTTATTAACATTCACAAGCTTTCGATCCTCCTCAATCATCCCAACGTTGAAAAATGCTCAATATCACCAACATGTCGATATCTACAATTAGATATCCTAATTATATCAAAATATGACCTAAGATATTGATCAACATGCATATATGGCTCATAAGTTGACTACAAGCTTCCAACAACTCAAATCGCCAAATAGATTTACAAGTTAGACCATTCAACTTCATTCTTATATTTTAATACCCATTCGAAGTCATTCATGATACTACAACAATTGTCCATTGCCACTAAGTTACTATTCATACTCTTCCATAATCAACACTTGCAAAATATACAATTCGGATGATTACTTAGTTGATCACTTCCATCTTTTGCTAATAAATAATTTCATGGGTTTATTGTATTCATAAATTTCATCGCCAAGATTACCATTCATCTTCTCTCTTATTTTCTCAAAAGTACTATTCATGCCATGAACTAGAGTTTTATAATCCAATTTTTCAACTATAAAAACTTGTAACAAATGCTTCAAATAATTCTAATTACTCATAATAAACAAGTTTGAAGCATTGAAATTACCTCTAGTAGCTCAATCTTGAAAAATTACAACTTTGGTAATTTTAGTGTTCTTGAGGATTTGATGATGAAATATAGCATTTGGATGCAAGAATGATGTTAGAACTCATGTATATTGAGTAAGAATTTCTGGGTATTTATATGCCTGGATTTCTGGGTTTCGGACGCGGCCTTGGATGCTATGGAAGCACTTCACTGCCAGCCATTCTTTCGGACGCGGCCCCGGATGCTTCGCATCCGCATACTCCTCCGCCAANATATATATATCCAAAGTTAGGTGATGTGCGTACTTATTTGGAACTTTAGTCTATCATGTAATTTTCAACTTGACTTGAATTTAGGGCTATCATTTAGACCCCACATCACTTATAATATACCTTGTACACTTATTATCATATTCAATTGATATCTATCATATTAATAGTCATCGTCTGTACACGAAATAATATAATAGCACACACAACTTTCTTAATAACGCTTAAGTACTTCGAAATTTTCCAGGGTGCTACAGTGATGACAATTTTATTAAAAGATCATCTTAAACATATAAGGAGTAAAAAGTTTCGGAAATTTTTCTAGTGGTAATTGAAAGTTCATGAAATTTAACCCTACTAAATCTACATGGATTTGAAAAGGCACGACTTATAGAATTAAAAGGAATAGAAAATTAAAGTCTTTAGTAGTAGGAGAATAATTAAATGAATATCCCTAAATATTAGGGAATTTATTAAATAAATATTTTTTAATTATTAGAGAAATAATTAAATGATTGTTTTGTCTAGTATGGACTTTATTTTTAGAGGTTAAAAAAGGCGAACGATATTTCGCTAAGGGCCTTTGTGCTTTTATATAATATAGATAGATATAGATATATAGATTTATAATAATATAGCATAGTTAGGTAAAAATTAAAAAAAAAAAATTCTTTTGTTGTGAATGAAATATCTAATGGGCCAGTTCAAACTCACACGGCCCGCTGCCTTTTGACCCAATTAGCCCATTTCGACAGAAAGCCCAAATCTAGTTAGTTGGGCGTCCGTCGGATTCCGCCCTCCAACTCTATATAATCCCAAAATAAGAGGCTGTTTTCTATTTCTTCATTCTCTCTCCCGCAAATCGAGTTGTAAGTAAATAAAACCCTAATCACTTTTCCAATTCTGAGTTCCCTCTTCTTGCGATAAAAGTTATAGTATTAATTTTAAAATTTCAAGCCATTTACCAACTCATTCTTACCATCCGAATATTGATTTAAAATCTCTACTATTTCGAATGCTTTTGAAATCAATTGATTTTAGATTCCCATTGATTCCTAATCAATCAGTCCAAAATATATTTTTGTTTGTTAGATAGACAAATGTCGGTGGTTAACATAATAGACACAGCTGACAAGATTTGTAATTATCAGCACACTTACCTTATGCCTGAGAGATTTTATGATAGTGTAGGAATAGGTGTGAGATTTCGAGAATGGCGAAGTTTTTTTGAAATAGACAAATTATTGAGTAGTTTTTATGGACTGGATATGATATAGAGGATTTATATAGTTGACCTCAACTAGTTTGGAATTGAGGCGCGGTTGATGTTGTAGACTATTAATTATCGAGGACCCACCTAGTAAATTATACTGAATATTGGCTGCCATAATCTGTGCCTGTCCTCACTTTGGGTTGTGTAAAATGGTTTATCTTTATATGGAGGAGCGAATGCAGTTTAAGTTTCCGGATAACATGATTTGAACCACTTATCTGATTATCTAATAAGTAATATAAAGATAAATTCCTGAGGTAAACTAGGGGAAGTTTCGGTATATGAAATGTTATGGCAACTGTACAGGCTCAAAATGTTGATTGACCCTGGCATATACTAGAAGTTTTTGCACATGCATTTGTATTGGTGTTTGTCAACTAAGTTTGTTCTGTGGTCATATGTTTAGTAGTTTAGTGCGGAGGGCTGAGAGTCAAAAGACTTAGGCAAAGTGTTGGTTTTTTGCTGATTATCTGTAGTTGCAATATCTTTGAGTGCTATCCTTCTGTTTCTCCCTTTTTACGGTATACTATTTTATTGGTGGCATCTTGTTTTGTGCTTTGTGTCTGTACGCAACCTGCTAATATATCTTCTCTTTGAAGGTCTTTTTATATTCAAGTCAGTAACTGCATAGTCTCGATGGATCCTGATATCAGGAAGTTTGGAAGAGGTAGGATGTTTGAGGGTTCAGTATTTGCTACTAGATTTTTTTTCCCCTTTGCTTCAATTTCGTAATACTTTTATGCGACGAAATGCAAGTTTGTAGACCAGAATGCTCTTTATTATTTAGTGGAGCATTTTTTTTCCAGTAGCACATCTGACAATTCATTAGTCTTTTCTAATAAAAGTCTGAGAACTTTATTATGCCATGGAATTTCTGGTTTGATGATGATTCCAAAGGTCATCAAAACCAGAATCTTAGAGAAAACCTTGCTTGGTGCAAGACCAAAACTTTGGCATCAGGAGACTAACTTGTCGTCGAGATAAATTTTGAATGATTAACTTGTGGTCATTGGTCAAGATATAAGTGTGGCCGATCTGCTAATACTTAATTTGTCACACTCATGAGGATCCATTATTACATGTACTTATAGAGGCAATTATCTAGTGTTTTTTAGCACGTCTCCTCCAGCAAGTACTTCTAATGCCAGTTTTATCTAAAGTAACCATCTTTCTTCCACTGAAGTATGTTGAGGACTTATGGAGTATATGATATCCTGTGCTTTGTCTTGGATATTCTATGTATCTTTTTTCATTTTAATTCTCACCCGTTTAATTTGTAATTATCTGGTAATACCTTCCAGAGCAGTGGCTCAAAGCAGTACTAGTTTTTTTTTTTAATAAATAAAATCTGAAATCATTTTCCTACTCATTGATAGTGTGGCAGAACTCTATAAAATAGTGGTCAAGAAGCTGGAAACTGTTTTGTGTGAAATAAACTTGTTCTAGAACTTTTCATCACCTCCTATGGTGGAAAAACTCCTTTTTGATTGATTCTGTTATTATATTCACTGTCCATCAGAGCGTCACGATGAGGAAAAAGCTCGTGAGGTTTAAACCAGTGATAGAGAAAAATTGGAGCTTCAAAATGCTTCTGATCGTAAACAGATCAGTTGATGAAATTTGATGAAAGTCTTAAGCTGACTGCCTCTGACACGGGTTACTACCACGTTTTATTAGATATTGGTTGTCTGTAATAACTGTTCGTGATAAGTCGCGAGGAATCATAAGGATGTTCTGATTTACCAATTGCTTTTGTGGACTTAGGGTTTTCGTCACTTATACTCTGTCAAATCCAATTCTTATACCTTCAAATCCAATTCATTCATACTTTGTTAGCATATGAATGTTATGCTGCACTATGCTGCATATGATTCATGATCAGGTGTATGAAGCCTCTGATGAGGTACAAGTATCTGCTCTTATAAAATTGCTTACAAAAAATTTTCTTTGACATTAGTTTAGCTCTTGGGAGATCTGTAAGGGGGATTTTTTTAATTTCCCTTCCACAAATGATTTATAGACTAGGCAGAGTTAACTTCTAGAATATGATTAAGTTAGGTCTACTAATGTTACCACGAGTCCTGGATTAACAATGCAACATTAGTGTTATATATTCATTGATATAAACATTATATGTTTGTTTCTATGCCCCCTCATGAGTTGAACTAAAGAGGTAGTGGGTGCCATATTCTTTACTATCTCTCTCTACATTTCATACCTAATTAAGTGCTCTCTTACACATTCAAGATTTTCTCTACCGCAAGTCACCTAAGTTAAGTTTTTAACTTTTTTCATGCCGCGTATGAAGTGGACTACTAATATATTCCACCACTTGTATGTATCGATAGAGCTCAGGTTCTGAGAATACGTGTAAAACAAAAAAAGAAATATTTATCAGAAAAGTGGATAAGAAATGTTCAAAACTATTTTAAGGTAAATATGCCAGACTTTGTGATGCGGAATCCAAGATAAAAAGATTAATGGCGTAAATTTAGTAAAAAGTGACCTAGGATAGCAATAAATAATATGGAATTGAAAGATCAAAATAAGAAACTTACAAGGAGATTAGACAAGGTGGGCGTGGCCTCCGGGGAGAAGAGATGCGGGAAGCGACGCTTAGATGGTTTGTACATGTGAAGGGAGAGACATGATGGCCCAATAAGGAGGTGTGAAAGATAGGCTTTGGTGGATTTGAGGAGAGGCAGATGTAGGCCAGAAAAGTATTGGGGAGGAGATGATTAGGCAGGACATAGCGTTGCTTCAGTTTACCGAGGAAATGACCCTCAATAGGAAGGTGTGAAGGTCAAGAATTAGGGAGAAGGTTAGTATGTAATCGTGCATTTTCCTTGTCCAAGCCAATAGTGTTAGTGTTAGTCTTGTGCTTTCTTATTTTTTGAGATTTTCCATTACTGCATTTGCTTTGGTTCTCTTGTTATCTTGCTGATGGTGCGAGAGCTTGCACATGGTGGGTCTAATGAGGGGTAGAAGAAGGCCTAAGAAGTATTAGAGAGAGGTGATTAGGCATGATATGATACTTCTTCAGCTTATTGAGGACATGATCCTTAATAAGAGGTTGTGGAGGACGAAGATTAGGGTAGAAGGTTAATAAGTAGTAAAGCGTATTCCCCTTACATACCGGTAGCTTTAGTATTACCCTAGTTGTGGCTTATTCTTGGACTCCTATTATTACCTGATATTGCTTGTGTTTCGGTATGTTAATATCCCGCTATTCCTTGTTTCCTTTCCATGACTTGTTTGTTTTTTATATCACATTTCTTTATTGTTGATACTGTGCTTACTTGGGCCAAGGTTCTGTTAGTAATAACCTCTTTATCCGTGCAAGGTAGGGTTAAAGTTTGCGTACACACTATCCTCCCTAGATCCTTGTTATGGGAATATACTAAGTATGTTGTTGTTGCTGATGATACAATCTAGTGCTACTGCTTCTTTTTGCATTTTTCGTTGAGTCGAGGGTCTATCTGAAACAACCTTTTTACCTTCTCAAGGTAGGGGTCTGTATACACACTACCCTCCTTAGACCCCACTCGTGGGACTACACTGGATTTGTTATCGTCGTTGTACAAGGAGATTAGACATCAAAATTAGAAGCCCAATTAATCATGGATATATCAAATCCACAACCTCAAGAGCAGTCAATTAAATATTCTAATCTATTACCTAAAATAGAAGATTACGTAATAGGAAAAACTATCCTTGAAGTAATCGAACACAAGTTCGGGTAGAACTCCTCCGAAACTCTCAAATATATTTCATATAACACTCTAATGTCTAATCCTTTATTGTGAAAGAGTGATGACTATTTATAGAACCATTTCAACTACTCTTGAACTAGCTATAAGTGTGAAACAAATACTAAAAAGGTCTTTAATAGTGGTTGCATGCAATCTTAAACAATAGAGGGCAGAAAGTCATCAAAACCATCTTATGGAAGCCCAAAAACGTAGCGATACATTCTGACTACTTGGTTCTCTTGTATTGGAAAACCAGCCAGATTGGCGCAGTTTTGGTAGAAAGTCCATAATTTTGTCTAGGGGTATTCAAATTGCTCAATCTTTGATTCTCTAGAAAGAAAACATCTTGAACTACATTTCTGGTAAGTTTCACAACTAAATTCATCGTGCACTATTCTAGAATTGATTTTGAAGTTGACAAATTCATCCTAGGCTCACTTGAGATAAACAACAAAAAACCCAATTTGATCCCATAAATGGGGTCTGGGGAGGGTAGTGTGTACGCAGACCTTACCCCTACCTCACTTGAGATACATGTATTAATTTTGGATTCTCATCCACGCCCATGAATTCCTAGCTTTTATTAATAAGCTTCTTTACCAACCCATGCATTGGTTGAACTTTTCTAGCTTTTGCTCTCGTGATTGGTCCGGTTGGTAAACATAGATCCTTGATTGCAATTTTGTGGAGGGTGCTCGTATCATTTTTCAAATAGTCATATTGTATTGCTAGGTTTTAAAGCTTTTCGTAAGATGTCTTTGGTGATTTTGTGGCCTCCATTGTTGAAGATTGGCATGCAACCGCCGTTGAAGACCCTTTTAGTGTTTGTTTTCACACTTGTAGCTAGTTCAAGAGTAGTTGAAATGGCTCTATAAATAGCCATCACTTTTTCATTGTAAGGGATCACACATTCGAGTGTTATATGAAATATGTTCAGCCCTTTCAAAGTTTTGGATGTTCTCCTTAAGTTCTACCATGAACTTGTCTTCAAGGATAGTTTTTCCTTCTACATAATCTTCTATCTTAGGTTCGTTGATTGACTGCTATTGAGGTTGTAAATTTGGTATATCCATGGTTAATTGTGCTTCTAATCTTAAGGTCTAATCTCCTTGTAAGTTTCTTATTTTGGTCTTTCAGTTCCATACTAGTTCTTGCTATCCTACATCACTTTTTACTAGATTTACATTATTAATCTTTTTGATCTTGGGTTCCGCATCACAAAATCGGGGACTTTTCAGTCACGTGTTCATCATCCTGTTGATCATAAAAGAGAATTTGATACTTTTATTGGCAGGATTTGAAGAGCGTGAAGTGGTTAAAAATTTGGCTTTAACATTAGCTTTACCCATGCTTTTACATTCTCTCTGTTGGATATTCATTATCTGAACGGATTTTTCCCATCATGTGGGCCTGGTTTTTTTGTTTCTTCAGGGCCTAGAGAACTTGGTGGTTCAGTTGATCTTCTAAATCATTGTAAACTTAGGAAACATCTTGATTTGTTCTGCAAGAGGTCTCTACCACTCTCTATATCTGAGACACAATACCTCAGGAATGTGGTGGGGGACACAGAAATAAGGAAAGGTGAAGGAATGGAACTCGATCAGTTGTCTCAAAATTCCCCCTATGTGGGGCATAGATGTGTACAGTTGCGTCCTTTTGGCTTGGATCTTCTTACTGATGCTTTTCAGCTAAGAGAAGCAACATCCACCGATCTGCCATTGGTAAGAATCCACCTTTTAGTCCTCAATGTGTGTATGCTTAAGCCTTCATCTGCTGTACTAATCCAGCCCTATCATAAAAGTTCCTCAGTAACTTGTCTTTTTGTCTATAGGCAGAAATTGGGTTCCCTATAGGTGCATCTAAATTGAAGAATGAGTGCAAGGAAAAGAAGAAGCACAAAAAGCACAAACACAAAGATAGGTCGAGGAAACATGATCCTAGCAGTTGCACTGATAAGGAACCTAAACCAAGCAGGGTTAACAATAAGGAGAAAAATGAGAGCAAGTCACAGAATTACGGTCCAGATTTGTTTCTGAGACAGCAAGTAAAGGTAACACAGAATTTGGGTTTCATGTCTGCGATATTGGTTAAATCTAAGGCTGAAATTTGTCTACTTTCTTAGCAATTTTCAATAACTTAAATGCTTGTGCTAGGCTTGCAAACTGAGAATGAATTTTATGCTTCTTTCCATGGTCCTGTTGTATCATATCTTTTCCCATGGTCAAATTCTAAGTTGTCGTCTAATATTTTCAATTGAAGTCTTTGAGCATAAAAATATATACATGTTGAAGATATTTGCAGTTAGTGGTGCATATCTGTATTAGAGAATGATTATGTGCAAACACATGTGGTTGAGATACATGTTATCGCTAAAATTTCTGCTATGACATCTGTAGGTCAATATTATTATCCGTTATGAATTAGTTAATTTACAGAGACATTTGTGGAGCTTAGATTTTTAGTGAAATAGCTGATATTTTTTCATCATTACATTTAGTAACCATGGTCTATTGATTACCTTTTCAGAAGCCAAGAACCGATGGCAATGGAGGTTTTTCTGGTATCCTAACATACCAGAAAAATGAGCTAAATAAGGTAACTTTCATCTCACACTATTATTGAGCAAATTTTTCTTTAAACAGAAAGTCCACAGTGATGTGGGTTAATTTGTCTAAGTATCCACTTGGTTCCGTTGGTGGGGAAGCTCTGCTTTGTATTTTTCTTTTTCAACACATGAAAAATGAATTAATAACTTTCTCAATTCATGACTTATAATGCTTGAAGATCTGAAAGGGATTGTCTTCTTTTTCAGCGAAAATTGGGATTCTTATCGTACATATATTTATTTAGTGGGTTTGTTTTTTCCTTCTTTTTTGGGTCCCAAACTTGTTGAAGATACTTATTAGTTTTGTGTGTGTTGGTGTGAAATTTTAAGAGCATGTTTGGAAAGCCACCTTGGAAATGAATTTCGGTGTAATTGAGTGTAATTATACAGTTTGACATGTTTGTTTGGCCAAGTAATTACTTGGTCAGCATGAAATTGAGTGTAATTGGAGGGGTGTAATTACACTCTCCAATTCTCAATGGGAGGTGTGAATTGGTGGTAATTACACTGTGTAATTACAATGTTACTTTTTAGTTTCTTTCCTTTTTATTATAATTTATTTTCTTTATAACTTTTTATTTTTATTATATTAATTTTTAAATTTTATTTTTACTTTTTAATTTCTTTTGAAATTTTAAAATTTATTTTTCTTTGTACATTATGTATCTTTTATTTCTCTATCTTTGCTTCTTGTGATTCCATGTAATTGCTTATATTTTTTTTATTTTTTTTATTTTTTGAAACTACACCTCCTAATATTAAAAATAATGAGTCATTAACAAACTTGACATATAATGAGTAATACAATTAAAGTGGAATTTTGTTGTTGAATGTGGTTATAAACTTATTATGTTTCCTAATCTTAAGTTGCATAGTGAAACTTACTATTATTATGTTGGAATTTAACATATGTTAAACTATATTTTTTTTGAATTTTGAAATTGTGTTATATTCATGGTTCCAATTTACTTGTTCTAGTAGTATTGCCTTACATTACATGTTGTTCATATTTTAGTTAGAATTGATAGATTAGTTTTGTCAAACATTTAAATAATGTAATGACATTATATTTATAAATATTAGTAGATTATTTAATCAAACATGAATTCCATGATGTTTTTACAAAACGTATATTTTTAGTTTTTTTAAGTATCTAAACTAATATTATCGATTTGAAAAATATATAAAAATTATTTTTAGGCATATATTTGTTATATTAACTTTTATGTTTTGATAACTACTTCATTTAAAATTTAATTTAATTGTGTAATTACGCTTGTGCAACCAAACAGTAAACTTGTAATTACACTGTAATTACACTATGACAAACAAACAGGTCGTCGTAATTACACAATTGTATAATTACGAGGCTGTGTAATTATTGTCCGTGTAATTATTGCCCTAGTAATTACACCAATTCTAATTACCTGGTGGCTTGCCAAACAGACCCTAAATGTAATATACATGTGAGAACATTGATTGCTGATTATGTAAATTGTGGATATAACTAACTAGCTTTTCTTTTCTTGTTTGCTTTACTTGGATAAGGCATTCAGACGTTCATAAGTGTACACAGGGTGTCATTGACATCGCAAATCTGGTTAAGAGAGTAGCAAGGCGCATTCAAATATCCACATTAAAATTCATTTGGTATGACAGGAGTCTCTTCAATTTTGGTGAATCTCGTCGTATGAAATTTTGAAGGATTAACTTCTAAAATTGGTGTTTTCTCTTGCAGGTATCCCATGTCTGAGCGAGCTTTCAATTATTTTGAATGGTTCGTAAGAGACATTAAGAGTTGTAGCCTGTGTTGGTAGACATTAAGATTGTTCAAAATTGTACATTTGGAGAATATTGAAGCTGTGAAATTTTTATTTTGTAATTAGATACCTCTGGGGAGACATATGGCTCCATTGTACAAAACCATATTGCATAATTGCATGACCGGAACTTATCAAGTAAAATTACTTGAAAAGTGAGAAACCTGAATTCTCAATGGTAAATCCTCCATCAATAATAAAATCTTGGCCACTAAAACACTTGGACTCATCACTTGCGAGGAAAACAGCAGTTTCAGCCACATCTTTTGGAGTAAGTGTTGCACCATTTAAGGTAGAATAAACATCCCAACCTTCTTTGCCCATCTTCTTTAAAGAATCAAAAGCCATTTGTGTAAGAACAGCGTATGGGGAAACACAGTTCACACGAATGCCATAACGTCCTAAATCAACTGTAGCATTCCTAGCAAGTCCTAAAACTCCATGCTTTGAACTCGTGTAGGCATGAGAACAAACGCCACCAATCGATGAACACACACTGCCAGTGACAATTATGCTACCTTGACGACGAGGGATCATGACTCGGGCTGCTTGTTTAATCCCAAGAAATGTACCTGCAAGGGAAATTTGCGTTTTTAGTGTCGGATATATTGACGTGATCTGATTTTGGTTCTTGTGATATATGGTTGAGTACTTTTTACTTCCAGCTAATTAAAACACACTTTAGATCCTTAACTAAGCTCCCGCTATGCGTGTGATCCGGGGAAGGGTCGGAGCATAAGAGTCTATTATACGCAGTCTTACCCTACATTTCTGCAAGAGGCGACTATTTCCACGACTCGAACCCGTGACCTCCTGATCACATGGAATCAACTTTATCAATTACGTCAAGACTTTCCTTCATTAAAACCACACATTTTAATTAGTTTTAAGTTAAATATGCTTAGTCAAATATCACAAGGACCAAAATCAGAATTCATAAGCAATAGCCTTGGGAACAAAAGTGAAATTATCTCCGTACCTACGAGGTTAACACTAATGACTTTTTCGAATTCCGATTTTTCATTATCAAGAATGTTAGATTTTATTGCTCCCATAATACCAGCATTGTTGTACATGATGTCTAGCTTGCCATACTTGGATACAGCAATGTTCACAGCATTTTCTAGATCTTCTTCTTTTGTAACGTTACAATGCACAAAAGTGGTTGATGATGTATCCAATTCTTTGCAAACTTTTTGTGCCAAATCATCTTGGATATCTGCAATCACCACTTTAGCTCCATGTCTTGAGAAAAGTCTAGCAGCTGCTTCACCAATGCCGCTAGCGGCACCTGTTATAACTGCAACTTTACCTTCTAGCCTAAAATAATTAATAATGATTATGCATGTTATAATCTTTAATATTTACCTCGAGTTAAAATTACAATGATGCTATAGAAACTCTTTATAATATGTATCGGTATATATAATTTAAATCCTTTCATTTTATCAGTAGTGTGTAAGATTTACATATAGTGTAAATTGGGAAGGTATTTGACATGGAGATAGGTATAAGAAAGAACATTCATGCCGTTTGGTTTCAATAGTAAATATATTTAAATCAGTCAAAACGAATTTTTATACTATGAATGTAACTTAACCGGATATAGCAAGTTTTTACTCTATTTTCCAAATTTGCGATATATACATGATACTTGTTATGAATAGTTACATATGATTGTAACGTACGTCAACTTTAGTAAAAATCCTTATACACTATCAATGCAGAAACTCTTTAAAAAATTATTATAGGCAAAAATTACATGACAGAGTGATTAGAACATGTACTGCTCTTTATTTGGGCAAGTTGAAATTAAAGAACAAAATCAGTTTATCTAAAACATAATAGCAAGGAATATCTTACCTTCTTGCCAAATGTGCAGCCATTGAAAAATGTATTAGCCCTCAAAGACTTCAAGTGGAACAGAAAAACAATATGCTCGGACACTGATATATATTATAATGATTCGACAAAATATGAGATAGGTTTTATCCTTCTGCGCTATTATATATGTAAGGAATAGGGCAGAAGGATTATTAGCCACAGATTATCAAAATGATTCGATAAACTATGACGTCGATCTGGTCCCAGGAAATGCTATGTGGACGACCTTGCACCAGAAACTGAAAGGTCTTACTAAATACTAGTTAAGTAGGTGGTCCAGGGATATAGGAGATGTGTTTGAAAGGGTCAAAGTCTTGGAGAATGAGACCATAACATATAAAAAGGCATGTGATCTTGATGTCTCTGACCACAAGAAGGAGGTCCTTGGTAGAGCACAAGCAGAAATTGCGTACCCAGATTTTTTTATAAGCGATATCAAATTGGTTTAGTTGAGTCTTAAGTTAGAAGAGGTCATAACCTCTGACCTCTTAGAGCAAAATTAGAAACTTAACTAGTGTGTCAAGCAACAAGTTATGTCAAGTAGTGTCAATTTCTTTATCTTATAATGTCAAGTATACTGGCTCATTGAACTGAACTAAATTGGATTGTCTTCTTTCTTTGTTGAGCTTGTCACTGTCATAATCTCTCCGGAAAATATGTTCTTGATTTTTATTGTCTAATTTAGAGTTCTTTAGTGTTTTTCTTGGTGTTTGATCATTTTATTACTCGAATCATATTTTTTCCACTCCTTGTATGAGTGCAGGAGTGGGAACAAAAATACAATGCAAGACATATTTGCCAGGATTTTGTCTCTGTCAAAATACAAACGGTCTAATTCTAATGGTAAGCTTCGTCGGTGAACTTCGCCAGCACCGGCACCGGCGTGGACAGGTAAGCCAGGTAAGCACACCCCCCCTCTCTCTCTCTATCTCTCCCTCCGCCTTTCTCTCTTTCTTCCCCCCTCTCTTTCTGCCCCCTTCTTAACCCTAGCAGAGACTAGGCCGGCGATCGTCACTCTTCCGGCGTCGCTCCGTCTCCCTTCTTCTTTTTCCGGCTTCAACCCCAACCCCCTTCTCAGTGCTTCCCCTTCTCCTTTATACTTTTTTCGTCTCCCTTCTTCTTTTCCCAGCGTCGCTTCACTGTTACAGGGTTTGTCATTGTTTTCCGGCGAGTCGGGCTAGTAGCAGATTGGTGTGTCACTGGTGGTGACAGTGACAGTCCCACACTTGTCTCTTTTTCTCTTTTTCTCGGTTCCATTGTGTGTTTGTGTGTTTTCCAGGTTGCACTTTGTTGGTGGTTGTTTCGGGTTGAGTTGGAGGTGTACGAGCAAACGCAGCAGAGCAGGCAGGCTGGTTGGTAGTCCCAAGGGCTAGACGTCGGGTCCCACAACACCGGGAGTATAGAGAGTCGAAAGTCCAGGTTCTATCCGCGGGAATTGGTACCTCCCGTCACTTATTTGTTTTAGTTAATTTGTTGCTGTAGTAGTTTTGGATATTTGTTACCTTCTAGTTTATACCTTTGCTTGTTTGTAGTTGCATTTTTGTCTAGACCACCATAGGTATATCGGTCGCGGTTTGTAATGGCACAGTAGGGTCATATCCTCGGGGTGAGCGGGTGGTGGGGCGGGGGGTAGGTCATGGGTCATGGGGTGGGATGACGCCCAGAGGGGGTAAAGGCAACAAGGGAGCCTGTAGGTTGAAGATTGGATCGTGGAATATAGGGATGTTAACAAGTAAGTCTATAGAGCTAGCGAAGATTCTCCAGAAGAGGAAGGTCAATATAGCTTGTGTTCAGGAGACTAGGTGAGTAGGATCGAAGGCGAGGAATGCAGACGGGTTTAAATTGTGGTACTCCGGACGCGTGAAGGGCAAGAACAGAGTGGGTATTTTGGTGGACAGGGAGCTCATGAAGTCAGTGGTTGAGGTTAGGCGGGTGAATGACAAATTGATGGCGATTAAGTTAGTAGTTGCAGGGAGAACTCTGAATGTCGTTAGCGCATTCGCACCACAAACGAGCTTGGACGAGGAGGTTAAGAGGCGCTTTTGGGAAGGGTTGGATAAGGTGGTGCGGGGTATTCCGTCAACTAGGAAGTTATTTATATGAGGGGATTTCAATGGTCATATTGGGTTGTCGGCTGGGGGTTATGGAGAGGTGCACGGTGGCTTCGGCTTTGGGGATAGGAACAGAGGTGGTACTTCTCTATTGGATTTCGTTAGGGCTTTTGAGTTGGTGATCGCGAACTCTAGTTTTCCGAAGAGGGAGGAGCATTTGGTTACTTTCCGGAGTATGGTGGCTAAGACCTAGATTGATTATATCCTCCTCAAGAGGTGTGATAGGGGTTGTGCGAGGATTGTAAGGTGATCCCGAGTGAGACCTTCGCGACTCAATATAGGCTCCTGGTGATGGACGTCGGTATCGTGATAAAGAGGAAGAAGAGGTTTGTACGGGGTAAACCAGGGATCAGGTGGGGTGCTTTGACTAAGGATATTGCACATGAGTTGGAGGGATGGCTGATGGCTATGGGCGCCTGGAAGAGTAATCAGGATGCTAGCGCTATGTGGACGGCGACGACGAACTGTATTAAGGAGGCCACGAAAGAGGTGTTAGGGGTCTCAACGGGCTACTATGGCGGGCACCGAGGTGACTGGTGGTGGAATGATGTGGTCCAAGGTAAAGTGGAAGCAAAGAAAATGGCGTACCTTGCATTAGTGGAGAGTACCGATGAGGAGCAAATGAGAGCAAATAGAGTGAGATATAAGGAAGCTAGGAAGGAGGCAAAATTAGTGGTCTCAGAGGCTAAGACTGCTACATTTGATCGGTTGTCTGAGGAACTGAGGGGCAAAGGTGGGGACAAGAAGCTATTTTGGCTGGCCAAAGTGAGAGAGAGAAAGGCTCGTGACCTAGATCAAGTGAGGTGCATCAAAGACGAGGAAGGTAGAGCATTGACGGAAGACTCCCAGATTAAGCATAGACGGCAGATGTACTTTCATAAACTTCTGAATGAAGAGGGGAGCGGTATCATCGTGCTAGGGGAGTTGGGACACTCTGAGGGTCACCGAGACTTTGGATACTGTAGGCGTATCAAGGATGAGGAGGTAGTGAGAGCTATGAGTAAGATGAGCCGGGGTGAAGTGACAGGACCAGATGAGATTCCAGTAAAATATTTGAGGTATGTGGGTAGAGCGGGCTTAGAATGGCTGACTGGGGTGTTTAATGTTATTTTCAAGACGAAGAGGATGCCAGATGAGTGGATATGTAGT